TATTTTTTATTTACTCATGAATAATACTTATTATATATGAAAAATTAAATATAATTATACTCTTTTTAAAAAAAATTAAATTAACTTATTTACATATTTAATTTTATAATCATATATTTATAAAAAAATAATCACTAAATTTGACATAAATTAGATTAAAAATAAAATAATATTTTTATATTCGTGTTACATTTTTTATCATATTCTATAAAAATATAATATAATCGATCGTCTCTAAATTTTACGTAATTGCACATATTCGTGTTTTTAACGTGTATAATAGAATAATATATTATTAAATATAATTAAACAAAAAAAAAAACAGTGATTACAGAGCGTGTGCTGCACCAGACATTTATTTTTGTGGTATTTACTATTTTAATATTTCCAACCGTGAGCGGCAGTTTGTCAGCGGTTCCTGGTGCCTCCTCCTGCGAGAAAATGAATTAGTTGCCAGAGAGGACGAAGAGAGAGGTTCATCACGCGCCGAAAATGAGAGTGAGCATTGGGGTTGTGTGTGTGTGTGTGTGTGTGGGGGCGAGGACTACGAGAGGATCGGACGGTAGATATAGAGAGAGAGAGGGGTTAAATCGACGGTGATGGGGGTACTTAAAACGGAGGGGATCATTGCCTTTTGTGCCAGTGTGTTGACGGTGGATCTGAATGGAAGTTTCCATGAAACTAAATACACGTGTTATTTATGTTCTGCAAGAAGCTCTGATCTTGTTGGTTGCTCCTGCATAGGGAACTCCAAACTCTATATTAAACATCTGCATAGCCTGTTCCACCTGTATATATTAAATGTAATTCTGATGTAGTAAAATATTTTTATTAAATAGTTATTAATTTTTATTCAAATTAATTGCTGATTTTATTTTTCCAGTCCAATTAATGATTTATTTATTTCATCTTAGTTGTCAATTGTTAAAAAATATATTAAGTGTCAAAATTCCATCGGGCATGATATATTTTAATAAGTTTATGTGTAAGATGAATATTATGAAAAATGTCACATAATATATGGTATTTAAATAAAATTATACGTGGGTTAATTTAAATCAATTTACATATAATTCACTATTATTCTACAATAA